TATAATTTTCTCATACTCAGTTATTTTTCGTTAATTATCTTTTTATTCTCTTTGAGTACTATAAGTAATTTAAATCTTATAATTATATTTCGTTTTTAATATTAAATCAGCAATGATATTTCTATAAACGCATCACCAAAAATACATACATATCATCATATTCATGCAATGCCCATGAGCAAAACCTATCCCTTTGCATACATATGTCACAATGATAGACAAAAAAGGCACTCGCGTACGAAAATCTATCCGTAATGTGGTTATAAACAAACAACGAGATACAATGACAAAAACATCAACAATCATACGCTACTGTGAGCACTTCACTTCTCATCTCACCTTTAATTATACATACTGAACACAAACATGAAAAAGTAACTACATATAGCTGAATGTGCATACAAATAAACTTATCTACCATCTGATGTTTACAAATAAATTCATATTAGCGATTCTAATTCCATGTCCTTTGATCACTTCCTGTCTCCCCATGGCTGCGTCTGTTTCATGTTTAGCGGGCCTTAGAAATCGCTTTAACCTTCACAACTGATCTGATTAGGGGCATGTATGAGCGATTTATTTGTATACATATTTTTTTATTTCAAATTTATGATAAGCTTTAATTTTTGTTTATTTACATTATTTGCCAGCTCTCTTTTGTGTACGTGTGTATGTGTGATTGCCTATTAGATATGGTAATAAGTGTCATTCGTCTGGCAGGCAGTACATGTGTCGTTGATTTCAAAATGAATGCATTCATATACATATATTTTTATTGTGGAGGCGTATACGACTTGTCGTGCTGACAGGAGAAAGGAAATATATTTGGAGTACATTTTTAATGAGTAGCCCTGTACTAATGGAAATATTGCTAAATATAAAAAAATTTAAAAAAATTTTTTTTTCGTTTTTCCAATATTAGCCAAAGTTGCACTTTTAGCCCGAAACCTTAGTATGAGTGCTGTTAAAAACCCACATTTGCATAGCTATTTAACTTGGAATTCTTTGCTGGCACGATGAATCACTTTTTAAATTATTATTCTTGATTAATAAATTTATGTTTGGAAAGAGTTTTGTATGTAGACATTTCAAGTTTCTACCCAACTATATTCGCTTCAAGAATAATAAGCTTATTATGTGCGGAACTATCGTCGTGAAATGAGAGAAATAGAGAGAAAATTTACGAAATCACCACTTTGACAATTTTTTTAAAAATGCTTTTCATGAGACAAATTATCGATTACTATCCATAAGCCAATAAATTTTCCATAATCGAAAAATTTTTTTCGTATTTCTATTCAAACTTCAACTTATTTTTATTTTCATATTTATAATGAACTTAAATGAACCAAATATGTACCATTTTGGTCGACCACTTTTTGCTATTTTTCCGTTAGAGACATTATTCCATCAGTGTAAAACTTTTCTAGATTCTCGGTGAAAAACTCTTGTTTCACAGGCCTCGCTTGAAGTCAACTTTACTCCATTAAGGGAGTTCTACATTGACCGAAACAAATGGCAGTCCGGTAGTGCAAGCTCGGGACTATATGGAGGATGCATCAAAACTTCCCAGCCAAGCTCTCCCAGTGTTTGCCAAGTCATCAAAGATGTGTGTGGTTTAGCGTTGCCTTGATGGAAGACGAAGCCCTTTCTGTTGATTACTACTGGCCATTTTTATTACATTGCTTGCTTCAATCTCATCAGATCTTAACAGTAAAATGTAAAATCAATCATTCGCTCAGGCTGGATCACCTAATAGTGGATGATTCAAGCCTTTCAAGCCGCCAATGCTAGCTATGCGACCATTTGTTGAGCTTCCCCACGCTTGGACCATGATCTTTTTCGCACATTATTGTCGTCTTTGATCCAGTTTTCGTCTCCTCTTACCTTTTGCTTTGGAAATGGTTCGATTTCATTTCGTTTCAGCAAATAACAGCAGATATTAATTCGGTCTATTAAATTTTTCACAGACAATTCATGTGGTAACCAAACATCGGGAATATTTTTGTAGGCAGCCTTTTTTAAAAGGTTCAAAACCGTTTGATGATGGGCATTAAGTTGCTTAGAGATATCATGGCTGCTTCTGTGACAGTCTTAGTCAATCTTTTCCATAATTCTATTGGCTTTTTCAACGATAGATCGACCAGGAATTTCCAGAACAGAAGCAGGTGAACCATTATTGTGCTAGACGAACTGATACACCATCGTCTCTGTAAACTTCACATATATCCAAATTTCTAGGAATAAGAAAAATCTGAACAAACGACAATATAACCTTTAACAGCCGAAACGACAAAAGTCTCTAGGTCATTTCAACACCAATCGAATACATCAGAAGTTTTCTAAAGCTTGAAATCATCAGCCAAAACCCTAGAGGCAAAATGCGCATAGAAAAAAATATATTTTTGTTAAAAAAAACTAAATATAAGTAAAAAAATACAACAACAGCACGGCCATAAAGGTGCCATTTGTTTAGATTATAGCCAGAAGGTTGCGAGTATTTGCTAAAAATGTTGTTGTTGTGAAGTCAGCGGTCGCAAGCTGGCTGCCTAACTGTACTCGCAAATAAAAGTGTGTAGTCTAATGGTCAGAGGACACAATCGTCGCTATTTGGTCTGGCACCGAATTACTGCCTGCCGATGGCTGGCGGCTATACAGCGGCATTGGTGCACCAACCTGTCCGGCTGGCCATAATCTATGCCAACAAGCAGAAACCCACACCACATGCGGGACCACCAAATGACTCCCCTGATAATTTGCATTGGACACGCAGATATTACTTAATTTCGCCTTTGCGCACAACATAGGCATTGGCTTGTATTTATATTTACAGTTATTTCGCCGATATTTTTTGGTGTGTGTGTGTGTGTGTGTACTTAAGCGAGTTTATGCAGTTTCATTTACGGTGCTGACTTTGGTTTCAGTTCTATTTTGGTTTTAAATTATATTCTCCCGCTGGCAAAAGTACACAAAAGCCTTGTTTACATAACATTTACATAAATACAACTAGGTATATATATAGATATGTATAGTAAAATTTTAGGCATTAGATATGTATTTATGCTATTTTGCTGCGGGCGCTGTTCTTTGTTGGGGCACCTTCTTTCGTAAACAAATTATGCTGTTTGCTTAACTCAGGTATTTATATGTATATGTTAGGGTGTTTGTATGTTTAGCTGCGTGCGGTTTTATTCTGTTGGCATTCTGCTTTGTAATTTGATTCATATGTCCGGCATTGCACAGCGGGAATTGAAATATTTTAATTACAACTTAAGTGGCATTACGCTCCGTCAATAACCATAAGCTGCCAAGCATAGCTTAAATATTATTTCCGGGAATAATACTTGTAAATATGACAGCAGGGGACAGTAAGAATTATATATATATATATTTTAACGACTTTAAATATTTTTTTTTTACATTTAATTCTTTTATTGTGTCGAACGGTAAGTTTTTGCTAGTTACTCAACTCTGGTCTAGTCCGAGTTCACTGTCCGCCATATATGTACATTTAATATTAAGCTTTAGCATTATATCATCTGACTTAAAACTGGCCTAGAAGTATTCGAATCTTAAAGCATACTATTCACTTTTGAAAGCTGAATTTCCGGCCATCAAGTCCTGAAATCTTTTTTTGCACATCGAAAATCGGTCTTTTGAGCAATCGATCTTCATTTTACTTTTCGATTGTCAGTCCAACAACTTTATGTTAATAGAAAATAGCTTACTTGGTAAAAACCATAACAATTATTATTAATGTAATAATAATCAAACACCTCCCAAAAAGCATCGATAAAAATCGATAAAACATTACTGAAGTCGATCCCAAAATTTCGTTCTTTTTTAGAAAAAATATATTTTCTCTAAGCTCATATTGTCAGTTACGTCAAAAATTTACAAAGAGAGGGAGATAAACTTAAAACTGTGAGAATTATTTAAATTCATCATTTTACTTTTCTGGATCGAATTGTTTAAGAACTAATTAAAGCGGGATTCACTTAAAGCTTTCACATGCAAATAAAGGTTTGAAACAAAATTGTCCACCGATTTGTTTTTAGTTTTGGTTTCCATTTAATAAATATGTCTAAATAATTATTAAATACAGCTTTTATCTTTACGAAAGCATTTTTGTAGTACACTTTAAACTATAAACTGAACTTTCACCTGAACAAGCTCTACGGAAAGCTTTTGATGATAAAAAGCTTTAGACTTATAGAGTGACGCATCATACATCAGACAGGAACAAAATATATTTCTTTTTAGCCAACACCTTTTGAGGAATAAATGCTAATATATAACGGTGATACCAGATATCATCTCAACAGTAGATCCACTTTTTTCTTCTTCGACAATGTTTCACTGTGAAAAACTAAAAAATTATTACATAACAAACAACGTATAACTCTTTCTTGTAACTGCTGCTTCAACTGACTCCTTTAGACTCCCGTTCTTCTCTGGGAAACTAAAATCCAGCTTCAGGAATTTAAGCCGCTCGGCCTTCCTTAGCTTTGCTCTATGGGCTCTTGAAAAGCTCCAAGAGATTCCGAAGTTTTCGAGTAAAATTTTGTTACGAAGAAAACCTTGAAGAGATCCGGAAAATTTGTGGGACATATTTCTTCAAAAATAATGCCGATGACAACGTTACCGTCAATGGCGCCTTGATAACCGACTATTTGATGTCTGAAATTGAAGCTCGTTATCTCGGCGACATTTGGTTTCAGCAAGACCAAGTGACGCCGTCACATCACATCAATCATTGAGATATCGCACCGTTAGACTTTTTCCTGTAGATATAATGGATGGACTATCTGAAACTTAGCCGCGGCCATCATTTGGAACAGGTAATCCTCCAAAAATAAATGTTAGAAATATTCTTACGAATGATAAAAAATATTCCCCATTAAATTTCTGAAAGGAACCTCGAAAGATAATTTTTGATCAATGAAAATTTTTTTTATCATAAATAGCAGATCATGCTGAAAATCCACACTTTACCAAAATTTTCTAGTAAAATCACACTTTATTGCACGAATTCAATTTAAGAAGATCACAAACATTACAATGTCACCACTGTAGCTAACTAATAGTTGCTATCAATTAACAGTTACTTTCCATAAATATCAATAACGAAATTGTAGCCGCGCCACCATTGGCTAGTGAAATGTAATTTCACGAAATTGAAGCCTGGACCACCGCTCGTCAGCGTCGCATAGCCACCATTGCCATTTATATACTGATCCTTCACTTCGATGCTTGTAATAATCGCTGGATAGGGTATATTCTAAAGCGGAAAAGGATAAAATATTAAAATTCAATACACATTGTCTACTTTCACTGAAGCACAACACGCACCCGCTGTTCGAATACATAGTCGCCGGTCTTCTTGCGCATAAATCCAGATTTAGAAAAAACTATTTCGCGCACCAGATGACGATCGCCTGGCAGACGCGTGCCCATGAAGAGGTGGTGGCTTGCCGTTTGATTGGCTGCTGCCACAAGTGCGAATAGCGCGATAAACACGAAAGTTAGCGCAAATTTCATTTTGTGAGTTATTTTCTTGGTGCTTAAGATGAGTTCGTAAGAAATACAGTTGGCTAAACGCTGCAAGTTGCTGCTACGGTACTTAGTTTTAAACTGATCGCGAAATTAAAATTTCACGTAACTTCATTAGCATTGAACCAAATATTCACAAATAAACATGAAAACTTGCGTACGAACTTATGTTTATCCAGATAAGCTATTTCCAGATAGTTCTTATCTTGTATGCAAAGCACTTGTGCAAATAAATGTCATGCATTACTGTGGTTAAGTAGTATGTAACATGTGTACTTAAGTATATACTTAAATATGAGCAGCGGTGGCATTCTGTGGATTAACTACTTAATTTTGCTCACTTATTTTCCTATAATAACTGTTGTGACTCCACTGCAAATAGTCACACCACTGCTGTATAAATACTTTTGTTTTATAACGTGGAGTAAAAACGCGCAAATATACATATTTATTGTTTTTTACTGAAAGTGACTCATTTTATTTGCGTTATAATATCTAATGATATCACATTTATATGCGGAAATTTCTAAAAAGTATGCAGAATTCTACTTATCTCCGTCTTTCAAGCTTAACCAACTGATTCCTTTTACAATTTCAAGCTACAGATTATAATAAGATTGATATTTTATACCAGACAATTTTTGAATCAAGAAAAGCTTACACCGTAATTTTCGACAGATATGTGTTATGATACTAAAAGCTTTTACCATTAAGTGGGCTTTCGAAACTTTGATATTATATCAGATCGAAATCGTAACCTGGAAATAAGGAGCAATAGCAAAACTTGGGGAGTCACAACTCAAAAGCGATAAATTATATACATATATAAGGGTGATACATTTCGGTAATCTCTGTGAACTTTTTAAAGAAAGAAAACAGCCACTTCAAATTTAATAGGGAATGTTTTTTATCATTCGAAAGAACATTCTTTGGCACTTATTTTTTGAAGATTGTCTCTTTCAAATGTTTGCCGCGGCTAAGTCCCGATGTTCCATCCGCTGCGTTCAATTTTCGATTATCCGTTCGAGTATTTCGACAGGTAATTAGCGAATGACACGTGTGATGTATTGCACCTAGAACCAAAACGTGAAATACATTCCTTTTCCTACAATTAATCAGCAATTATATACGTTAAAATGTCTATATTTCTAAATAAAACGATTCATCACTCAAGTCTCCTGACCTGGGTGACATTATACCAGCGCAGCTTCAGTGAGCTATCGCGCTCCCATACGCGAGTACTTATATATGAAGTGCTTTAGAATGATATATTTTCGTGGAATTTGAAGGTAGACTCGTTTCGTTTATTCTGGAATCCGCGGTGTGAGAATTTTAGACCGTCCTCCCTTTTTCTTATTGAGAACATTGGACTGACTGGTGGATCGGTAGTATTCTAAGAAGGGCTAGTAAAAAAAGAAAGTAATTATCATGGATTGCAGTTCTTCTTCGATATCGATGGACTTTGAACAACATTTTGTCGGAAACGATTATTCGTGCTTTAACATCATCAAACCTCTCTGCGATAGAACGATCGTGGAGGAATGGGGTATTCCCCACAATATGCAGTTCTCTCGCCACTTTTCCTGATCATGGTTGTCAATGATCTTATGAAAAAGTTTGAGGAAGTCAGTTAACGCGTGATTGTCAACGCGAATGATGTAAATCTCACGGTTTAGGGAAAACTTCTGAATACAGTGTATGAGCTACCTCAGGGGTACTTTAGGATTACAAGTAACTAAGCTGCTGAAAACCTATCCATAAATCCTAGCAAGAAACTGGTTTTATTCCCTAGGACTGAGTACCTAGAGATCATCCGGAAATCTTTTGTATGATGGAAAACGGTAGAAAAGTCTACATTCACGAAAAAATTTACAAGTGTTCAATGGACTGCGTTCATCAGTATTTGTGATGCACTGCGAAGCAAAGTTTATCGACGCCAAATGTGCTCTCAGACCCGGAGACTTTGAGTACTTAGATGTCGCTGCTGTACTCACATACCTTCGAAGGAAGAATGGCAGGGAAGCAATCAGGGATGAAGAAGATGGTCGAAGGGCATTTTTACGAATGGATCAAAGCTTGAGGGTAGGGTTTCTGGCGGAGTACATTGTCGGGAACTTTCCATCAACTACTGGTTTAGGCTTCCTAAGGGATAAGATGACTGTCATAAAGGCAGCAGTAGATTTACTGCTCCATAGGTAAGCCTCGTTCAGAGTTGTGACACCACTCCGATAGTAATTCAGCTCTATTAGAATTAAGTTCGCTGACAGTGCGCTCAAGGCTAATGAAATAATATCTAAACTCCTTTTTTCTATAATAACGTTATTCTATGTTAAGCTGGCTAACTTCGGAATGGGAACACCGTCCTCTTACGGTTCACTACTGAACTGTTGGGTCTGAGACCAGCTCAGCAAGTGTTGGTCAACCACCAGCAGGTGCACACCAGGTCATTCTGATCTAGGGTAAATCGAAAGTGGTCTAGGGAACTCTTCGGTCTGAGCTCTAAGCAGACACTATCCGATCGAGATGCCAGCTGCATTTGGAAGAAATTTAAATAGAAGTGTCTCAAGACTTGCTCTTAGAATGTCTTACCATTGATATCAAGGCAAAAACAACTTAAATCTCATAAAAACTAAGATATTTGAGAATCAGTTATAGAACAATTCGAAGCATTTTTTACTTCTAACAATTGGAACCACTCGGTGAATTCAAAATATCTAGAAGTGTCCCTGTTTTTATTCAGTAGTTTTTAATAAAAAAAAAAACAATAATTATTTTAATAATGGTACAAATATTTAGTAATACTGATTTATTAAAGTCATAAGCATAAAATCTCTGAATATATTCAAAACTACTTACCACATTTTACATGGACACGTATCTGCAAAATAAAAGCAAATATAATTAGAAATTCGAAAATCATTAAAAGATTTCTCAAAATTTCGTTTTCATACAAATCGAAAAAGAAAATAATTTAGAAAGTAAGGATTTCATATTTTAATTTTAATTTGGAATATGTTCATACCATAAAATAAACAAATGCATATTCATAAATAAACTACCAGAAATCTACATTACTGAGCAATACCAAAAAGCCCTGCAAGCGCTATTTTCTAATATACCATACAAAAAACTTTAAACGAAGTTTACTTTCCCAATATCGACAATATTTCAAATGACTACAAAAAATTTATTTTCATTTCGGCATATAAACAAAATCATGAGAAAATATAGAGCTTATATGCATTGCTGACATACATAGAAGCAATTTTAAAAGCACAAGAACAAGTGGGTTAACGGTACTTGTGTCGCCCGCACAACTTTTCGAAAACATCGAACGAAGTTTAGGGAACAAGCATACAATATTGGAATGAAGAAAAAGCAGTATAGCCGCAGGATAATACACTTATACGCTTTATACAACGCTCGAACACACACACGCATAAATTTACACGCAAAAGCCTTGTAAGAACAAATTTGAGATTTTTGTAGAAGCTGGCGCACTTTGCTTTGCATATTCATGCCGAATATGTTCAATATGTTACAGTTAAGTAAATATTACTTGCGAAGATAAAAACAGAAAATATGCTAGCACTCACACACGCATACATGTAAACATATTAATACATAAAAACATGTCCTTATGTGTAACCAATTGTGCATGGCCTCGGGCACTTCCTGTAAGATGTCTGTTTGTATATACATATGTAACGCTTATTGTCATGCCGTTTCTTACAAGAACACTCATTTCTTACTCATTTATTTTACTTGCTTCCACATTGCTTTTGTATTAGTGTTGGTGTTGTGCACTTATATCCAATAGCTACTTGTATGACTTGAATGGAAAAGCCGTTGGGTAAATAGTTTATACATACATATGTATGTGTCCATGTCTTTATATACATATATTTATATTAAGCTATGGATTCTTGGAAAAAAAATAACGTGTGTATATTGAACCATTGTAAAATAAAATGTTATTACACTTCAATGGGGCAATCATATTTAGACTGAGGGCAAAGCCTTTTAAGTTTAAGAAGCGGTAAGTTTCACATTTCTTCTGTTTTAAAGCTCGCTTTATCCGCGTCTGACTGTCGACTAAGTTCTTTAGAGATCGATATGAAATTTTCGCATCACTACAGCTTATAGCTCTCATGCAAACTGACCGATCAAAATCAAGTTCTTATATGAAGGACATGTTATATGACGAGATATCTTAGATCGAAGTCCTATAGTATAGAGCTGCCATACAAACTGATGATAATAATAAAATTCTTTTATGAAACACTTTAAAATTTGATTTTTTTTCCACGAAATTTTACCACAATTATTGTCCAAAACTTTCCTTAAGTTGCATTCTCTGCGCGGGTGTCAATTGGGCAATAGGTCAAAGGCAATTTGCTGCAGAAGGCGGCACCTAGCAAAGGCTAACGTATTTTCCCAATTATCCCCTTATAATTGACTGCCTTATATACATTCTCAGAAGTAGGTGAACGGGTAATACAACAGTGATGGCTAATGAGGCAATTGTCGGTAGGTATATATCACTAGGCGTAGAAACCACCGAATCATAAAACTCAAAATGGATGTCAGCAACGAAACGAAACGGACTGGGATATCAGTACAAACGGCGGAGTTAGACGAGGCTCTACCACCGGTGGACACAGCGATCCTCTGAGAGGTGTCATCAGCGGTCACACCTCCACTGTAACGGGAGCATGTTGCTCTATAGCGCACGGCTGCCCCAGTTCATGAATCCTAGGACCAAGAAAGCTCTGAACTTCTTCGCTCTACTGAAGACTTGACTGTGGGTTCCAACACTGGCAACAAGCAAGAGAGGGCCCCGGAAGAAGCCAAGCGAGGACGTGTTATAGACAACAAGGTGGCACAAGGCGACGCTCGACAACCGTTTCTAAGGCAAGTTCAGCCTAAAGGAAGAGGAGTTTAAACGACTGACTTGGGGCAGACAGAAAATAAGGAACTGCTGGGCACATTTCGCTACTCGTAACTGTGCATTGTCTCGGATCCAACATAAGCTAATCATATTGAGAAGCATATCGCTTTCGACCGAGTGAAGCGAAGGCGCGTAGCCGAAAGACGTCAAGCACGTGCACG